CAATACAAAATAACCCAAAATATCCTTCTATTTCGAAACATTTCTACAACAAAAAATCAATTTACTACATTATTCATTACTTCCCCTCAACACTATTTCACAATGGCCAAGCCACCCATTTATAGCAACAACAATCTCTCAACATGACCAATTCATAACAAGTTATTCCCTTCAAGGTCACAAGAGATACTTTTCAAACATCAACCCCCATGTTTCTCGATCTTTCACAAAACGAAGATCCACAACCATTTATTAACTCACAACAACACACTTTTAAATACTCAACCATAATGTTAAAATCACATCTCATTTCTCGTGTATCATGTAAATTGCCATACTTGCAAACATATGATGAAAGTTTACTCTCTTAATATAGAACACCAAGATATCTCTAAGCATGTTCACATCTTTCAAAATTTCCTCAAAATTTCTAGGGTTTTTTTGTCAAAACAAAACAAACATCTCCATCTTTTTAAAAAAAAAAATTTCTCTCATGATATTCCCTCTCTTATTATGTGAGTTATACTTCTCATGAAAATAGTTAGAAGGAGAGAGAAATCAAACCCACCGTTCAAACTCTAGCATTTATGAGACAAGACCAAACCCCTAATACCATTTATGAAACCCTTAAGCCAACCAAACCAAACATAAATATATATATAACTCATGGAAATTTCCCTACCTCAAGTTTGATGGAGAAATGGAGTAGAAACCCTAAGATTCAAGGATGAGAGAGAGCTTTGATTTCCCACCACCACAAGTGAAACTCTTGCTCAAGATCTTCAAGGTTATGAGAGATGATGATGATCTAACCCGATGGAGCAAGAATCAAAGGTTTTTGGTGCTTTGGTTAGGGTTTTTAGAGAGAAGGAGAGAAAATGTTTTTAGAGAGAGAGGGAGGGGTATTAGAATGAGATACAAACAGCCCAAAAGTGTAAAAGAAATAGAATTTTTGGACTGGTCTCGCCCCGCACGTACGGCACGTGCCCCTGCATGTGCGATTACCCTCTCCCGCACCTGCGGCACTGATCCCCGCACGTGCGGCTAGTCCCGCACTACCCCTCTGCACCTAGAATTTAAGCAGAATGCAACACACTTGGACTCCTCTCTTCCCGCATGTGCGGTCCCAACCCAGTAGCCTAGAATTTCCTGATTTGACTCTTGGGTGCTCCGGACCTAACCGCGTATCCTCTGAAATAGGTGAAATCTCTCAATAAACAAGACAAGAATAAGAACTAAATCTCAAGGAGTATTTCCGGATACCTCAAACTCCCTAACAGCAAGAAGAAAATGGAGTGAGGACGGAAGAAAAGAAAAGAAAACAAGACCCGGTCGTCACAACATCAGAGTCTTGACCAAGGCCAAGTTTTTCCACGATGGCTTTCCAACCACACCGGAAAAAAATGTCCTTGGTCTCCTGCACCTGCCGTTCATAAGCTTGTTCACCCTCCGCATAGCGCGGTCTTCAGCATCATCTACCTGCTTCTCCAGCTTGGCTTTGTGGGCTTCGCGGAGTTTGTGTAGCTCGGCGATGTATTTGGCCTTGGTCACTTGCAGGGTATTTTGCTTATCCTTATTTGCCCTGGCTAGCTGCTCTACAAGTCGGTCGCGCTCGACCACCACCTCTTCCTGTGTGGCTTCAACTTCTCTAGCTCGGCAGTCTTGGCCTTGTTATCGGTGATGGCCTCCCGCAGACTTTGTCGCATGACAATCATTTGCTCATGGGCCAGGTAGTTCTTCTGCGCAGCCTACAAGGAAAGAGGTGTCAACATGCCAAAACCGAGCAACAAGTTAACGACAAGGGGGCTTGTTCACTTACCGCATGATTGACTTTGCTGTCGAACAGATGACTTTTAGGTCGGACAATTCTTCATGCTTCTTCATGTCGACAGGGAGCAACAATCCCTTGGTCATGTTGAAGCCGAGTGAGTAATCCTTGTTGACATAGACCGAGTCGGCGGTAGTGACTGCCCGGCCTTTGTATTTCATCTCGGGTGACCAGATTGGGGGGCACTGGAGCAGGCAGATGGCTCGGTGATTAGTTGATCAGTCTGCTTCCCCAAGTCGGTAGATGGATGCTCGGTAGAATCTTCATCCACCAAATGTTGCTCGGTTTGGTTTTTTCTCGACTTCTTCTTAGACCGACCGGTAGCTTGCTCGCTGGTGAGAGCCAACACTGCCCCTTATCTTGCACAACTGGCGTGGAAGATTGTTCTCTAACTGTTTCTATGGGCTGAGAATCGCTCCGCTTGCCAGTGATCATTGAATTGATAGCCTAAATCTTGGCCATTTTCTACTTGGCCGTCAAAGGAACTAGTTTGATTTGGGGAAGGTTTGGATTTGGCTTTAGAGAAGGGGCACGAAGGAAGTCGGTCACCCTGCTCCTGTGCGGCGCCATGTAACGGTAACTCGGTTCGTAGCCGAGCAATTTTTGAGGCTTTCGCTCCTCGGCCGGGTGCTGCAATGCAATCCTTATGGCTTCTTAGTTTGCACGAGAGTAATCTTCTGCCAAGAGTCTGTAGTTTGCAACAGGAAAGCAAGGGTTAGATCGGCAAAAACAAGAATAGTTACAAAAAAAAAAAACACATGCCAAGATGCTCACTAGCACTCCTAAAGTCTTTTCTAATGTACCAGCTCGATATGGGCGCTTCGGTGTCCTCGTAATTACCGGACACCCACAAGAAATCGTCGTCGTTTGTCTCTTTATCCGGGTTACCCTCAATAAGTTTCGCTCGGCCTTTCTTGACTTTGAGGTACCAGCAAAATCCTCCTTTATTTTTGCTAAGAGTGTATTGGTGGAATATCTCAGCGAGGCCGAGATTCAGATCGAGTATTCTATTCAGTGTGGCCACGCCGTTTGTTATTTTGTATGTGTTGTTGGAGACTTGGGTAGGGCACAACTTAGTTTGCCTCAAAAATTCGTAGACTAAAGGTTGGACCGGGAAGTGTAAGCTGCCTTCCACGATAGATACGACTGTGAAGGGGCATTTGTCCATCTCACCCCAGGAAGTGTCTCCTTTCTTGGCCAACTCCAGGTGGACATCGTCTGGGATGTTGTACTCCCTACGAAATTCAGCCATTGTCCTAGAAGAGCTGACCATAAAACAATATTTCCCCATCTATCCTGGTTTTATTTGTATGGTGAATTAGTTGGTAGCTCGGTCAAAATTGAGCTGCTCAGATTATTATTTGCTCGGTCTTTGACCTTACCGATGTAATGTTGATGTTCCTGGTCGGTTCTAGTTCTGCATTATTAAAAATTAGTGCAAGCGTTAGCACGGCAACGAGTGCACGGCTCTCAAAAACTCTCGCATACTGAACTTTTACACAGTTTTGGGCGTTAGACCGGTCGTGAATTGTTAGGCTGGTTGTGGGCCAAGTCCTAATTACTTAACTACTTATCTCGGCTAGATGAGACCCTTAATGCACCAACGCGATGGCTGTCACATGGAAGATCTACAAACTACTTTCAGCTTGGTTCAATCCTATTTGAGGATCTAGATTGGGATCTAGCTTAGTTTTTCCTAAAATCAATATGTTCATCTTAAAATAGAGGCCATATACAGAAGCTGAGGAAGATGAGGGGCATGATGGCCCCATGTGCGTTCTGGGTTTCAATTTTAACTAATTTCTACAGATACAAATCGATTTTGCCCCTTGAGAGAAGCTTGGGCAACGTATTGACAGTCCCAAACGAAGAACACGAAGAACACGAAAATAGTGATGAAAGTAAGAGGAACTTACAAATTTGAGTACCAAACCAAGCTCCAATTTGCCTCGACCTTCGCTGTGATGCTTGATGAGATGGAAAACACTGGGAATGATGCAAGCGAGAATGACAGCAGCGATAACAATGGCAGAGCAAGCTGGGGCTCAAAAGAGTTTAGGGTTTAGCTCAAGGAAGATGAACAGTGATAAAGGGGAGGGAGGCATGCCTTTCGTATATATGAATGATGCGAAAGGGAGCCAACCTTTTGAATTTCGAAGATAGTGAGATAGTTGTAGGAGTGCACAGAGCCAGTCAATGAAAGCCACGTGGCATTGAAAAGACGGTTTGTCAGTACGGCTGATTGATCGATGACAAGACTACTGGCACAATCCTCATTGACCGACCAAATCGAATAGCTCGGTCAGAACAGTAATCCTAATCATGATCAGCTCGGATGCGATTAAGGGGCAATTGAGAGGAAAACTTGCGCCGAACAAATGGACCGAGCTACGGCAACACGAGATATGATATTGGGCCTTGATAAGAGATCATGTGCCTGACTGAATTGAACCAACGTGGCTCCCCAGCCCATTACGTTGGGCCGGGCAAACTAACCAGAATGTGGAGTGTGCAGGTGTTCAACCAGCTGTTGCTCAGCAAAATCTGATATTCGGTTAGATCCGCACTGATGCGTTGGGCCGAGTTACAAATAGTCCGGACTGATGTAGGGCCAAGACATCCTACGAGATAGCAGGGTGAGGTCGAGATGCCGAACAGCGCACCCTACGACCAGTCAATTCAAATGGGCCGGTATATTATAGCTCGGCCATCCCAGTCTGTTGTGATGTTTGCTTCTTCCAAGTGATAGCCCGGTTGTGTAAGCCATCTGTACCAATGGTGAAGGAGAAATCCACTCCTGATATGCGTCGATACCGTTTGGCGGTTCGACAAATACTGTTTGGAGGTTTTGGTTTCTACACATGTAAGGAAAGTAGAGGGGAGCACAACTACCTGCCCAGAGAAGGACAGTAGAGGTAGTGCGCTCACAATCTCTGAGGGTTGCGTGGCCAACCTAGAGAAGAAGAAGTGTGGACACGTTAGGGGTAAGCAATCTGAAGGAATTCCCAATTTCTCTCTCTAGAGCGTTCTCTATTCTTCTTCCTCTCCTCCAAGTGTGCTGACTTGATAGTCAGAGGGTTTATCCGGCAACACACCACCGGGTAGCTCACCATCTTTTGATTTTCAGGTTAAGCGGTGTTACGTGGAGTTTGGGTTTAAGGAGTACGGATAACTGAGAATATTTTACCCCGTATACATACAAAATTACAAACTGATTTTTTTTAAAATTAATTTTTACAGACCAATTTGACAGAAAAATGAAAGTATAACAATGATATAATATTACAGAGAATAATGAAATCCTAAGTGGAGTGAGAGGAGTGGTGAACTAAAAGCCAATGATCTACTTCCACATAACCATCACGATGGACATGAGAGAGACAGCTATCCAATGGAATGTTCCTGGCAGAAATGAGGAACCTACGCCCACAACAAAACAAAGAATGATGAGAGACAAACACAATTAATTAATGGATCAATCCATGAATATTCAAATATGGATGGTGAGAGACAAACGCAAGTAATAGATCGATGGATGAATATTCAAACATGGATGATGAGATACAAAATACAGGTAACCGATGGATGGATGAATAATTAAACATGCCCCTTATTTGATTATCAAACATGCCCTTAAAGATTTAAAGTAGTGTGTTGGAATGAGATTCCTACTTCTTGCCTTTTAAGTATTATAAAAAAATAAACAAAAATCTTGGCATGCAATAATTGGACCGTGTAAAATCTCATTTTAGATATTTTCTATATGAAGGTAGACATTTTAATTCACATATAATAAAAGGGTGATGTTATTTAAGTTTAAAAATTAGACTACTTTTTTAAAATAAAATAATTCATTCTCATATTTTCTCTAATTATCAACCAATTATCTTACTTATATTAAATTTAGAAAAGTAAGTTTAAAAAAATAGATTTATGTATCATTTTCATAATTAAAATGTGAATTTTTTGAATTTCATCAACTATAAAGAGACACCTATAACAGATTACTAAAATATGTTTTAATATTAAATATATTAATGACTTTCTTAGTCCAGGCCAAGGATTCAAAAACCTGGGGCTATCAAGTATACCAGAAACGGCTTTCATGGATGCAATCAATATCTTTATTTTATAATTAACAATTTGTGAAAAAATCACATTGATAAATTCAATTTTTTTTAAAAAAAATTATTATAATGTTCACTTATAGATAGTTGGTTTTAAATTGATGATGTATTGGGTAACCTTATCAAATAAAATGAAAATTTCTATTTCATAGGTGAAATAGAATGAATCAAAATCCATTAAACTATTTACTTTATGGAGTTGAATTCATTACTTCTTTTAAGACTAAGCCTTTAACATTGTATTTGGTTAAAAGATTTGAGAAGGAATTTAAAAAAGAAATGAAAAAAGTGTGTTAAACTAGTTAAAATATAAATATATTTTATTTACATTTCACTTATATTATCTTTTTTTCTTTTTAAATTCTCTAAACAAACACAATGTGAGAGAGTCATGTAGCCAATTAACCTAGGCTAGCCTAGTTGGTTGCAAACCAAAGAGGAAAAAAAAAAAATACAAAACACAATTGGAAAGAAGGGCTTAGAAGTTAGGAGTGATTTGAATGGTCATCTTACCTTGATTGCTATTGCTTGAAGACGTTGAGTTTGAAACCTTAATCCCAAGCTTTGCACAGTCAGAACCAAGGGCACCTGAACCAAAAAATAAAATACAAAAACAAATATTAGAAGCCACAAAATCATTGGTGTACGAGAACGAAATAATTCTCTTGTATAATCTTGTTGATCAAGTTTGTACTCCTCCAAAAGTCGTTGCTTTATTATCTGAAAACACAAACGTGAGCTAGCCGGCGGATGTGTGCCGGAAACCTCTCTAATACCTAAGTCAGCAAATAGACAATAGATATAAAAACTCTGTGTATTCTTGAGTAAAAATTGTGATACCTGTACATAGGTCCTGTATGAGATTTTGTAGATGCTGCCTGGCACAATCCTAGTAGGACTCCAACTCTCCTCAACAGAGTCCTCCTAGGAATCACACTCTCAAAGATAATGCTTATCCTGATAACATCCTACTCACTACCAACTAAGTGAGATGGCTTAAACCTCCTTACCTCGGTTTGGTAGCAGCTCAACCGAGCTAGCATGGTCGTTCCCTACGCCTGACTTAACCATACTCACACAGCTCGGTGCTACTTTAGGCAACACAGCAAGTCTTTACTATTTAGACAACGCCCTGTAGAGCTATCATATACCTCGGTCCTCCTTCCAACGATACCTTGGTCCAGGATAGCCAGACCAGGCCACTGGTAGCTTGCCTCTGACAGAACTGTCGGGATAAAAGACCAAGCTTCATTACCTCGGCCCGTAGTTCGGCCCAACATGTAGGAGATTGCGCCTAGCTCGGTCCATATCAATAGTTGCACTTAGCTCGGCCTAATTTACACATAAATTACCTTATCAATTGCCCCTTAATTCCATCTGCATAGCATGATTAGGATTATTAACTTCCAGTTGAGCTGCCCAAGTCCAACCTCGTTGAAATAACAATTCCAGCCGAGATAAAACAATGATTCCTGCCGAACTTAAGTCTGTTTGGCTTCCTGAACTTGCACCGGTCGCCCGACCTGTCGTTTCAAAAATTTTTGACAACACGTCCTTATCAGAACACGTGGCACACGTTGATTGCTTCCTGGTACTATGCCAGCCGTTTTACATTGCTCAAAAAATTTGAAAAAGGCCCGCCGTTTTGCCTCCATCATAAATATAACCCCTTCATTTCGAACAGTCACCTTTTTACTGTTCATCTTCGTTCTGGAGAGAATCTCTGCAATCTGAGTTCCATATCCGTGCCTTCTGAGCTCTAATCCCAAACCAAGGACCTACAATATCTGTTTCGCTTGCCTTCTTGCTAGTTGGATTTTGTCCTCATGCTTTTGTACTTGTAAGTTTGCAAATGCCTCTCTCTCCCTTTTGCTGATGTTCCTTTTTATTTATTTCTATATTCCAGTGCTTAGCCTCCATTTGTGTGTTATATACACTAGAGCGTTTGAGTACTATACAAAAAGCAAAAACGTCACGCTCAATCCTAAACACACGTATATGACCTTCAGAACATGATCTTTGATCCAAAATCGTGCTGTGACCGTACTAGGCACTTGTTTGTGACCTTTAGGCTTGTACCTGACCGAACTAGAAATGCATTGATCACCAACCATGCTATAAACTGTGAGTCGGACCTGTTTTATGGCCGAACTAGGAAATACTCTGTAAGGTCGTTATAACCGAACTAAATTTACTTAACTTTACTTAGCCCGGTCTAATTTTTTGGGCATAACCTGTTATTTCCACTTTGCAGACTTGACTAGGCTGGCCAGACACACCCTAGCACTTTGCCTCTGGGCCATTTTGCTCAACCGAGCCATCCAAAGTCACACTAGCGCCGAGCTAGGCCGCCCTGCTCATTTTTACACAACAATTTTTTAGTCTTAATGGGTAAATACCGATTTCTGGTGGACTCGCTTGGAGTCATGGCCAAATTTCGTAGAGACTACCATATTCTGGACGACATCCACCTCTCCTTGGCCGAGCTAGACACTACACCCTGGGGCAAACCGGGCTTCATCCTTTTCACACTTATATCGATCGTAGAAGCCGGGCTGCAAGTTCCTAAGGCAAACTAGATTATGTTGTACCCAACTATCTACAAACACTTATAGAATAATAAATGGTATTGTCGAGCTAAACCACCGGCTCGGCCTCAACCTCGGATTGGCCGAGATATTCCATCAATATTTGCTCAGCCAAAATGATGACGGTTGGGTGTACTACCTCAGAGTAAAAAGAGGCCGAGAAAAAATGATCAAAAACACACCGGACAAAGACTTAAATGATGATGATTTCTTTTGGGTTTCTGGCCATTTTGAAGATCAAGAAGCCCAAATATCGGGCTACAATATAAACTGGAATAAAGAAACTGCTGGTAAGAACATTCCGGTTCAACTTTCTTTTTTGTTTCAATAACCACCGCGCTAACCCATTACGTTCGTTGTCTTTTTCGTAGATTTAAACAAGCTTAAATCACATTATGCCTACTCCAATCAAGACGCCCTTCGTGCCGCACTTCGATACCGCCATCGAGATTGGACCGAGCTACTAAATTTCGAGCCGACCTATTGGTATAGCGGAAGGAGAAAGGCTAGGGTTACTGACTTCCTTCTTGAACCATCACCCGAAACAGACCCCAACTTGCCCTAGATCAACCTTATCCCCCTAACCGAAGAGCAAGAGATGGCTAAAAGGAGAGCCGTTCGGGCTCCAATCACCGAATAGGCATCTAACTCAAATGCTGAGGTTCAGACTGTGCAGACTATAACCTGTCAGACCATCGAAACCGTCGTTGCATTGCCCTCCTCCTGAGCTACCTCATCTCGGCACAACAAGAGGCTGTGCACCTTGTCCTCTCAACCGCAGTAGCTAATGGATGAAGAGGATGCCGAACCACAAGAGACCGAGCTACCCGTAAGCCAACCGAGACAAGGGGGAGCCGCCCCCGGCCACGCTAGCTCCTCTTCGGCATGGGCGCCGGCTTTAACTTTCAAAGGCTGTGCCGTTACCACAGCAGATTCTGTCGCTGTCGAGAATGACCACTTACTGGCTTTGGTTTATCCAAAAGTTTGTGTCTTCCTACCAATATGGAAAAGTATGAGAACCTGACCGAGCTGAAGACAATTTGGTCCACCACCAAGTCGATGGTCCTGGTAAGCTTTGGACTTCTCAGTAAATCTATTTTTTCCCACAATTATTTTGTACGGTTTAAAACTTATTTTTACGAACACTATGCAGGCCATCTAGAAAAATCACATTGCGCACCAGCATGTGATCGAATTGCGAAGAACGGTCAAGACAACTGTCGCCGAGGTGAAAACAAAAGAGGCTGAGCTACAAGTCCTAAAGGCTTCTCTGGCCAAGCTAAGCTCTGTAAATGAAAAACTCACTGAGCAGGTTAGCGCAGCTGAGGCAGATAAGCAGAAGGCCTTAGCCGAGAGAAAATATCGATATTTGCGCGAACTCGCTAACCTTAAGAAAAAGAAGGACGCCGAGATAGCGGAGCTGCAGAAGAAGATGGAGGATGCAGAGGAAAAGAAGGTGAAGAAACCTACGTCAAGCAGTGCGAAGCTGCGAAAGACATATTCTTCAAGTGTGGCTGGAAGGCTATAGCTGAAAAGCTCGGTCAGTCGCCCGACTACCAGATGTTCCTCCATCCTCTTGCACATTTTATTCCAGTCTACATGACGGACTAGGCAAATGCCATCTAGAAAAAATACCTTGAAATGGAAGCTGAGGAGGAAGAGGTCCCAGATCTCGCTGACATTCCACCCGTCGACGTTCCATCTGCCAACACTGACCTTGGTCACTAGTCTTCTTTGCCAGCCTGGTCGGAAGTACCCAACCAAGCCGTGCTGGGCCTTAGCGAAGCAACTAAGATTGATCAAGCACGTGAAGACGAAGTTAGAGGAGTCCGAGTCGATTTGGATGCCGAGCTGGATGACCTTTTTGCTTGATTTACCAACACTTTTTTGTTTTTGCTTATTTAAAAAATGTAACTGGGCTACAAGCTCCTCCCATTGTACTTAATTTCAAATGAATGAAATCAAACTTTTCTTTTTTAGCATCTCTTCGTTCAGTTTACATCACTTTTTCGCTTTGTAGTGTATCAGTTTTGCTGCATGCCTAGCCGACCTAGTTAGCTCGGTTATGCCTTTATCATGCCCACCTTGTTCGATCGAGGTACTTATCCTGGCTGAAAAACAACTTTGGGAAACTGCAAAAACTTTTGTAATCGAGATGTGTGGCTTGATCCTTATCTCGGCTAAAAGAAAACAGGTTTGATTAACCCTGCCAATGTACTTGAGCCTAGATCCTTATTTTGATTTGAGGGACGAACTAAGTGTTTGGTCAAACCTACCCACCTTCTTGAACCGAGGTCCTTATCTTGGCTGAAGGAGAAAAAAATCTGTTGGTCAAACCTGCCAACTTCTCTAAGCCTAGACCCTTATCTCGGCAATAGGGAAGAGCTAAATGTTGGTCAAACCTACCAACTTTCTTGAGCCTAGATTCTTATCTCGGCTGAAGAGGAAAAATTTGTTGGTCAAACCTGCTAACTTCCTTGAGCCTAGATCCTTATCTCGGCTTAAGGGATGTGCTAAATGTTGGTCAAACCTGCCAACTTTCTTGAGACTAGATCCTTATCTCGGCTGAAGAGAAAAATTTGTTGGTCAGACCTACCAACTTCCCTGAGCCTAGATCCTTATCTCGACTTTAGGGACGAGCTAAGTGTTGGTCAAACCTGCTAACTTTCTTGAGCCTAGATCCTTATATCGGCTAAAAAAAAAAAAATTTGTTGGTCAAACCTGCCAACTTTCTTGAGCCTAGATCCTTACCTCGGCTGAAGAAGAAAGCTTTGTTTTTGGTCAAACCTGCCAATCATCTTAATTGCCCCCAGTCGATAATAAATATGAATAACTTGAACATATAAAGGAAAGAATTTCGCCGGAAAAAGCTACTTGTTTTTATTGCAAAAGAAAAATTACAAGTGTTTTAAGAAAAGGCTAAAAATAAAATAGTTTGAGATTGGCCATGTTCCATAGCTTGAGAACATCCTTGCTATCTATATCTTCTAAGTGATGTCC